GGAGGGAGGAGGCGGGAGGGGTGGGGCAAGAGTGCGGGCGAGGATTTAAAGACTCTTAAGTCTGGAGAACTTTGCGCACTGCTCACAGCGGAGCCAGGAAGGCTAGGCGCCTGGAAGGTGAGCCTTCAGGACTTTGGGGAGATAGGAAGACTGCACGGGGGGAAAGCAGTTGCCTTTTAGCTTCTAAGACCAGCTGGGACTCGGTGTAAAGTATCCCTTAAGGTAGAATTAAAGTGTCAGGGAATCGAGAGGGGGCCAGGAGAAGAAGGGCTGGAGACTAACGCCGTTTGCTTTCCCCTCCAACTAGGACAGGCAGCCCCCCACATTTTGGGTGGGCTGCGCCGCTTGGCCGGCGGACCTGCCTGGGTCGGAGAGGTGCGCACCGTCGGCGCCTCGCCCAGCACCTGGCCTCCCCGGCAGCCGCTGAGCGCTGGAGTTCCAGAGTCTGGAGGCACTACCTGAGCATCCCCTGCCCTTCTGCCCAGCTGAGTCCAGCTGCCCAGCGAAAGCATGAAAGGTAGGGAGGGTCTGGGAATGGGCTTGGGGATGTTCCCAGGGTTGGTTAACAGCGGTGGGGTCCGAGATACCTTGTTTTGTGGGTTTTTTTGCTGCCAAACTGCTGTTTTTGATGGTGGTGTTTGAGGTTCTGATGATGTAGGGTCGGCTTGGTTTTCATCTGCGTCACTTCTTCACCTTGGTTAAAGAAAAGATGGTGGTCCTGGGAAACTTACGGTTTCCTATGGATGGTTTGTGGCTTCTATTATGTTGTGAATAGGATATTTTCCTCAAAAGTTTTGATCTCCAATTTATTGGGTATGAAGATTTTGAAGCTGAAAGTGATGGTGTTTATGAACTAACAGGCAGTGTCGGCATCGATGTGATGTGTCATGGTTGTTCTGGATATTGGGAATGAGTACAGTGGTGAATGGAGTTGCTTGTTAAGTCATGTTTTACAGAGAATTATTTTCCAACAATCATTTATGCATAGCAGCCATTCTTCACACCTATTAGGAAAAATATGTTGTGTGCATAGTTTCCAAAAGGGTACTCTTTCTCTCTCTCCCTCTCTCTCTCCCTCTCTCTCTCTCTCTCTCTCTCTCTCCATAATGCTCTTTCCAAGCTGGAGTGAGAGACATCAAGAAAAGCTATAACAAATTAATTCTTCCAAAAATATACATTTTGCTTGAAGTCTAAGAAAATCCAATCGGAGTCAAAAATCAACAATGCCACTCAATTTTAGCCTATTTCTCGGGCTTTATTTTGAAAATCTGTTAAGTTCCATGTGACAGCTTTTACCTGATATCTGGTATAGGGAAGGCAGGGGTCCACTATGGATCTTCAGGAGACCCTCACGATATCATGGCTGTTGTTAACCTGAACCAAGTCATCTATTCAAGGCTATTTCTTGAATTTATTGGGTGATTGAAAGTGAAATGTTCAAAATAAACCCAAGTGTGACCTTGTAGTTCCTGAAACTAATCTTTAAATAGCTGAATGTCCGATTTTGAATCTGTCTTAGTTGATAAGAGTAAGCAAATATTTTACGTACTTGGACCACTTTGGCTTACCATTAAAGACAAAGTAGGACTGAATGCATTTAGTGGTGTGGAATTTATAAAGTATAATTTGAATAGCATTTTGCTAGCCTACTATGTGCTTGGCTAAAGAACTCAGCTTTAAAAATTCAAAATTGCTGGTTTTCTTCCCTGGCCTTATGAGAGGAACCAAGGTGATTAGATTTGCAAAACATCTTTGCAGTTTCAGTGCTGGGGGGGCGGGGGGGGGGCACTCATTCCTACTCAATATTTTAACGTGGCTCAAAACATCCATTAGCCTGGATTTGCTTGAGTTCTATGCCTCTAATCTACTGTTAATTTTAGGAACTCTAGCTGCAAGAACAATATTGAGTCACATTGTAAAATGTTCTAAGATTACTTATTGACCACACCAGCATGCTGAGCATAGTAAACATGAAACCCTTATTATAATTTAATCATAAGAACACATAAATAATCTCAGAGTTGTATTGTTTATGATAATTAGAGTTGAAGAAAATTAGCCTATATAAATTTGACTTCTGTTTCCCATTTTCCTGTGTTTTTGGGAACTCTAGATAATGAATAGTGATGGGTAGATAAAGAGAATTTGCTGCAGTCGGTTACAGAAATGGAGGTATGACTTAGCATCGGAGTGCCGGGGCAACTCAGTTCTTGGTGAATGTCTCAGACTCTTTTCAATGTTGACATGAATGAAGATATTATCTATTGTTGGTTTTTATCAGAGGAAAAACAAAATGGAAATAGGAGACCGGTGATATTTTAAATGATAGCCTAAACCAGTGTTCTCAACTCAGGCTGCAAATTGGAATCAATGAAGGTAAAAAAAAAAAAAAAAAAAAAAAATAGGTGCCTAGACCCAACCCTATACCAATTAAATCAGAACATCTGAGGAAGGGGTCTATATTTTGATATTTTTTAAAATATGATTGTAATGTGCAGCCATGATTGGGACCCACCGGCTGATATGATTCCTATGGGATTTGGTAGATAGAACCTGTTAGAGTCAGAGGGTCTTAGTGAAAATAAATGCAGTATGTTCTATTGCCGGTCTAATCTTTTCTTCTTTAAAAAAAAATGTACAACTTGATTTCCCAATTAAAAGAAAGAGTTTTCTTTATTTTCCTTTTTTTGGTAGATATTTAAACCATAATAGCTTCTGGGGGAAAATTTGTTTTTTTCCTCCAGAAAACAATCTATTGAGTTTGAATCTTATTTGTCTAGAAAATGCTTTAGTAAATTAAGTCTACCTATAGGAGATATTGGAATTAATGCTTTATGAAACACAGAACCTGACCTCATTTTGCTAAGGTCATGGTATGTAATGTGTAAATATGTACCCTTTTGAAAGGGGAGGAGGAGAAAAACAATACTATTCTCCTTGGCATACCAACTAACAGATCCCGGGTGCTGCGTATGTTCTAGAATGTTCACATAAATTATTTATTTAAAGCTTACAATAGCTTTGTGAGGTACCAGCTATTATTCTGATTTATGTATGAGGAAATTAAGGACCTATTCGGTTAATAGATTTGCTCAAAGCCACAAACCAAGTAAATTTAATATGTGTTTGAACCCAGGTCTTCTTGTTCTAAGTTCAATACTGTAATAAAATATATATTTACATACATAATTTCTATATTTAAATTTAAGGGCAGGAAAAAAAACAGTTTTGGTTAAGAGCACAGATTCTGACATGGCTCTGCTTGGATTTTATGCCCGGCTCTATCATTTTCTAAGAAGCTGTGGGATTTGGGGCAAATAATTTAACCTTTTTATGCCTTAATTTCCTTTGCATAAAGAATTTTTCTAATGAGAATTATATGAGTTAATATTTGTGAGTCACTTTGGGTAGGTGCCTGGTGCATAGTAGGTTCTATGTAAGTGTTATATTTTTTAAATGTCATTTATTCAGAAATATTTTTGATTGTTTATTATATGCCAAGAATTGCATCATGCCTAATGTTACATAAAAAAATAAGACATGTCCCAATCTTCAAGGATTTTGTGTCTAATAAAGAATGACCAATACATAAAAAGTCATTCCACTCAGGAATGATATTGTCTTCCATTTTAATTTTAATTAAAAGCATTATTTTGTGTGACAACTGTGTGCTCTTCAATACTAATATGATCTTACAGAGGTCCATAAAATGAGGATTATAAAACCAATGATAATAACATGTTGTCACAATGTCATTAACTTGTTTTCAATTCTACAATCAATACACACATAACAACATTCAAATATATTTCGGGCTTTACTTTATGGGTTTAGAAAACTGATAATATGAAAAGGTTTCAGGTCTTTAAAATGGTATTTTCAGGGTGAAGAATTTAGGGGAGGGGGGAGAGAATTGGTAGAAAATGTCATCGGAATCTATTCCCAAATGCAATTTTCTCGAATTGTTTTTCGAAAAGAGTATTGTCTAGAACATATTTTTGTAAAATAAAAAGCAAAATAATTTTAGGGTAAGAAGTGCCCATCAAGGAGTACAATTAAAGGTCTCTATTCAAGACTGGCTCGGCAAAACTCCATCTCGTAGGAGCTGGCTACGCTTCTTCCCCGAGCTGAGCTGCTGCCCGGCATTGCATCAGACCTCCAGGGTACCTGTGACACCTGAGGTACAAGAGTCTGTCTTTGTTCAAATGAAAGCCTCTCATTATTAAAAATAGCAGAGGAATTGCTATCCTTTGTCAAAGAATAGCACAGATACTCTAAACCTATGGAGCTGTTTTTCCAAAGAAATGAAGTACTTGGCTCGGTGAAATAGGTTCTGGTTTTGTAATCAATATTTAACCATTTTATTTCCTTAAAATTTCTGATTGCAAATGGATGTCTCTCTCTTCTCTTAGCAAGTCTCAAGGCTACTCCCAATTTTTCCCAGGAATGCTGCATTTTTCTTCCTCATCGTTCCATTGCCACCCCTCAAAAAAAAAAATACTTAAATATTCTCCAAATATTCGGTCACCTTCAGACTCCCTGTGCTGCACTGAGTGTTACATAACATGGTCAGACTTGTTTACCAAGCTCCCATTTTGTTCACCTTTCCTCGGTGATTCTTGGGGAACAGGAGACGAGCCTGGCATTAAAGATGCCCCTTGATATAATCCCCATGTTATTTTTCTTATCTAAGTCAAATGACAAACTTCAACAGCTACCTAATTCCAGTTCTGCAGCCTCAGTGAAGCCATTAAAATGGACTCCAGGTTCGGAGTCCATCCTTCACTTTTCACCCTTATGCCCTTGCTTGTCACCTCAGTGTGTGTTCTATTGCCTCAAAATGGAGGTCTGAGTGACAGGGGAGGGGGCTTTGCTTTAGCACCAGTTTCTTCCCGAAACCCTAATCCCAGCCCCTCCCTCTTATATGCCTGGGAGTTCAGAATTCAGCATTTCAAATCTTGCCTTCCTTTATCCCTCAAAATGTATTCATCATTCACCCATAACACATCCAACACATATCCATTCTTAGAGTTTTGCTCATATTTTAAAACTCAGTGTTTACTAAATGCCGATCATGTCCTAGTCAGGGGGTAATGTGACGAATGACAGCTCCTGGCTTTATGAGGACGGGAGGAGAAGACACACCACAGACAATTACACGTCCGTGTGGTAAGTACTGCAGTAGAGAAACACCACGAACGCTCTGGAAGCAGGAACAGCACCTAGCCGGGCATGGGGGAGCTTTTCAGGGAAGGTGACCCTGAAGGGAACATGACTCAGCATTGCACCAACAAGACAGAAAGAGGAGGGGAAGAGATGATGTGTGTTCAGACCGGATACCAGTCTATCAGAAGCCCTGGGGGCTTGAAACAACAGGCTGACTTAGGGAAATAACAGATATTTTAGTTAGTCCCGGGGTCTACAAGGCACACATTACAATGGGGTTTTCGTGCCTGCAGGGTTGAAGGGTTTGCATGTTATCAAGAAGACAACAGCAGTCCAAAAAGAAGTTAAAAG